CTGGTAGGGAGAAAAAAATCACATTTGAAGGTGCTGGCCAATCTCTAACTTTAAGAATTAGAGTGGGCCTTTCTGGGGATCTGAGTACCCCTCATTTCCTTACTGTGATATTTCCTGCTGCTTCCTCTGAAGTGCCTGGTTATGATGACTATCAGAGGCAAGGCGCTGGACTAGATATCCAGTCTGACAGTTCCTGGGTGCATGCAATTAATGCACATAAATAAACTCTGGAGCTTATCGCTTCTGGGTACACTGTTTGAATGTGCACCCAGAAGCAATAAATTCTGGAGCAATAAACTCTGGAGTTTATTCATGAGCAGCATGTTGAGCTGGGTCAGAGCATCCCCAGCTGGCAGGAGACCCAGGGGGTCAGTCTGCCAGCCCAGGGCTGCTCCCCCAGCTCAGCATGCTATGGAGGGGCTTACTGGGGCATGAGGGTGCTTTATGTGGGGCTAGCTGGCCAGAAGCCTGTGCGTTGAAGCACCCTCATGCCCCAGCCAGCCAGGGCAGTATCTATACATGTACTGCTGCTGAGTTTTTTTTTACTCCAGAGCAGGACAGTACTTGTATTTACTGAGTAACTAATTAGTTAACGGCAGTAAATGTCTCATCTAGATGCATTCCCCGTGTTCCTACAAAGCTCTTGAGTAAACTTCTACTGCCAACATAGATTCTGCTTCCTTGTGTCACTCTGCAGTCTAAGTCTAACCTGTCTGACAAAGATTTGCAAAAATGTGCAGAGATTTTAAATGAACCCATTTGCCTTCAACTAAACTGCAAAATTCTCCAATATCTGGTAAAGGGGAAACAATCATGTGTGATAAAACTGAGGGTAGCCGTATAGCAAAATCCCAAATTTATTTTTACTTATGCTAATAGAAGTTCTGTGCTGGCTGCTACAATCCTTGAGGTGTGTTTTCTGGGAGCTGTTGGGGACTGCTGGTGCATCACAGAATCCCTAGCACATCTGGTCCATTCTCATGTCTACCATTTGAGGAGTTCGAAATGCCTTACATGTGTAATTGAAGGATCAAAGTTTTCTGGGAAGTAGGTATGGGGTATGTGCCCATCTGGTCTCAAACATCCGGTCACGTGCGACTCTGGCCCAGATGTTTGATGGTGTTCACCTCACCATCCCCTGTGATCTGTCGAGAAGGTGTTCGCTTCCAGTGTGGTCTTCCCCAGTCTCCCCTGCCACAACTTTGAATGTTTTTCAGTGGAGGGTCTGACCACTTGGGGTCTTTCGATGGTGAAACATTTCTTTGGCGGTCTTCTGCGAGGCTCCACTTCCTCTGCACCTCGCCCTTACACCAAGCCTTGACAGGTCATAGTTCTCCTCCTGGCCAGGTTCCCGACCGTTGTGCCCCTGATTACTATCGAAGGGGGTGGCCCTCTCTGCTAAAGCTAAGCAGCCTGAGGTATCCTGCCCAGGTTGCAAGGCCGCCACCTTTTCTCCAAGGCTAGCAAAACAACCCCGGGGTTTAAGTGACACCAAGGCTCCAAAAGAGCTTTACCCCTCAGCCCCTTCAAAAGGGGGAAACATAAAACACAAAGAAAACTACCATTACACTCTGAGGGACCCAACTGTTCACTTGCCAGGCCCCCTCTGCCTAGTTGCCAACCACCCTCCCTTCAACACTATGGGTCTGGGTTAGGCCCTGTATGTGGCCAGGGTAGCCTGCGGGCTCCACCACGCCTCTTCTCCCCCGTCACCCAGCCTTTTGTTACTTCGAGCCACCTGTGGTCCTCCGGTGGACACCCGTCCCCGCCACTGACATCGGGGTCCTTCTGCGCCCCTCTGCTCCAACTCCTGGGTTCCCAGTTGTGGGGAGATGCCTCCATCTCTCAGCGCCTCTCACTGCAGCCAGCAGTCTCTGGCTTGCAGCTTGTAATGGAGGGTTCTTCCCCACCAGGGAAAGCAGCCTCTAGCTCTTCTCACTCCAGTGGGAGCTTTGGAGAGACACCTTCTGCTGGTGCCCTTGCTAGCACCACTCTCCCCCCTTCCTCTTCACCGGAGGCTTGTTTTATTTCCACTGGCTGGTGATCGTTGATGATGTCACCGGCCAGCCGCAGCTGTATAAAGGCATGGCTGACAATCTGTGCAGGTCCCTGCTCGCGTTCCAGCTTTGCTGCGGGTCCCACTGCAGGTAAGTGTTGCCCTTTACCCTTGCTTTTTCCTTCTTTCTCCTCTGTGGGTTCCTGTCCCTGGGGTTCCCCTTTTGTATTTTGGGGTCCTCCCTTCTGCTGTTCCCCGTGACAGGGTACATAGCCAGCGTATCTTCAGTTGCTCACTGAAACAAACTGGCTGAGTAATGAGAACCTAACTCAAACCTGGTGGAACTTATGTGTCTGTGTGTATGTTCCACAAGCACTTTTATAACACTACCTCCTCTTCAGTTGTCTCAACAGAGATTAAAATGTTGACCCCCCAGGCAGACAATAAATGGGAACAGAGGCTGGGGGAAAGAAAATGAGGGACATGGAGACTGTGGCAGTGCACCTTTTGGTGCCTGCCACTTTACGGGCTGGAAGCAGGCAGCCAGCAGGTGCTTGATTAGGACAGCCATTTTAGGGCCCAGCTTTCACAGGCTGGGTAGCAGTTTGTTGCCAGTCACTGAGAGAGTAACATCATCTGGCTGAGCTACTGCTCCTGGAACATCTTGATGGTAAGAGCAGGAGCTATGAGGATGGCAGGAGGCTTCTGGTCTTGGGCATGACCTGACACTGCACCCTGCTGGGGAAGGATGAGATGGCAGGGCTGTTTGTGGCAGAACAGCCCCCAAGAAATGCCAAGCCAGTTACCTCCCCAGTGTAAGGTGGGCACCTTAACCCCAGCCCCCACCATCTGGTGGGTAGTGTAGAGAGTTGTGGTAGGGGCCAGGCACCCTTGTGAAGGACCACCTGAGCCCAACAGGGGTGTGAGCCCTCAGAGACCCCAGAGGGGATATTATTAGTGTGTGGGCCTGCATACAGCAGGGTGCAGCAGGGCACCTGAAGGACTACACTAGTGGGGTGCAGAGTAGGGCTGCAGAGAATGGCACCAGGGTGTACTGAGTAGGGTTTCAAGGGTGGCTTGAAGGGTGGTACATGGGCCAACCCCAAGTGTGAGAGCATGGAACTAGTTGCCCAGTGAGGGTCTAGGGGCAGAAGAAGCCCAGCGTCAGCACAAGGTTGTGACACAGAGTAGGTGAACTCACAGGATCTGAAGTTTTATAGTTTTGTAGTTGGTAGGGTTGGAAGGAACCTGAGCAGATCACCATGGGCAGGAAAGAATGCTGGGGTCAAATGATCCCGGCTAGGTGATTATCTAGCCCCTTTTGAAGACCCCCCAGGGTAGGAGCGAGCACCACTTCCCTTGGAAGTTGGTTCCAGATCCTAGCTGCCTTGACTGAAGTAGTGCCTCCTGATGTCTAGCCTGAACCTATTTTCAATCAACTTGTGGCTGTTATTCTTAGTTACTCCTGGTAGTGCTCGGGGGAACAGGGACTCTCCCATTTCCCACTGGTCCCCCCGGTAAGTTTATAGATGGCCACCAGATCCCCTCTCAGCCTTCTTTTGTGGAGGCTGAACAGGTTCAGGTCCCATAGCCTCTCCTCGTAGGGCCTGCCCTGCTTCCCTCTGACCATGCAAATGGCCCTCCTCTGGACCCTCTCAATGCTGTCCACATCCCTCCTGAAGTGCAGTACCCAGACCTGGATGCAGTACTCCAACTGCGGCCTGACCAATGTCACATAGAGGGGGAGGATCACCTCCTTGGTCCTGCTCGTGATGGATCTGTGGATGCATGACAAGGTGTGGTTATCCTTACTGACCACATCCTCAAATTGGCGGCCCATGTTCATCTTGGAGTCAATAATGAATCCAAGATCCCTTTCTGACTGTGCTGACGAGAAGGGAGTTCCCCAGCCTACAGGTACACTGCTATTCTCTCTCCCTAGTTGCTGCGTGGTAGTGCTGGAGAGTGAGTAGTGAAGCCCAAAGGCCCAAAGAGGTTGCTCAAGGGGAGCAATGGGCAGTAGAGAGTGGCCCAGTAATGGGCGGAGTGCACGAAGCCCGTGAGGGGGGGCAGCATGAGTGAGTGTGTGTGAAAGAGGCCAACAAAGGACTGAGTTTGCTCCGGCCTCAGATCGGGGAGCAATACCAATCTGGATGCCATCTGCGAGGCGTGGGCCACAGTGTAGGGAAGGTTCGGAGTTGTGGATAGAGCCCCCTGGCATTGGGGTGGTGAATGGGCAGTCTCCCACTTAATATATCATGATAACATTCAAGTCACAGCAGGCAAGTCAGGGCAGACTGCCCTAGGCAAGCAGATCTAGCCCTGGGAAGGCCTCCTGTCACAAGGCACAAAGAGATTCAAGCATATGGTGAAAAGGGAGGAGTACAGAGGGAAGGAAGAAAGAGGAAGGAAAGGGGGGCTTTATATTCAGTTAAAATTACAAAGGTAGGGTGTTGGAAGAGACCCATTCTGGCTGGGGTCAGTTTGGAGATGCTCTGATGTGAGGCATTTAGCAGGTGCAATCCCCTGTCACTTTGGGGGATGTGACGGGGATCTTTAATAGTCATGAATGGTTAGGATTTTGGGGCTTGTATTTCAGCACAAAAAGATGGTGAGGGGACAGAAGAAAAGAAAAAAGGGTCAACAGCACAAATTGTGGAAAACAGAGAAAGAGAGAGAGACTGGAAGAGAGCAAAGGGGATAGACAGAATTTGTTAATCTTCCTTCTCTACTGCCATCATGTTTCCTCTTCTGAAAGGCTAGAAACTAAGTGACGTCAATAAAGCAAAAATGAAAACAAAACTGACAGAAGGCAAATTTCTTGGAAACTACTTCAGAAAGATAAACAGATGCAAATGATATCTTCAACAGGCATATTTCAACACAAATGCACAAAAGACCAGAAGGTTTCTGGATTATTATTATTATTATTATTATTATTATTATTATTATTATTAATATTAATAGTATTATTATTATTACATAGTATTTTATTTGAGTCCTAATAAAATAAAATAAACACAAAATATGAAACACTTGTGGCAGAAGGAGCCTCTCAGCCAGTAAACGAGGGCAGGAGCAGGACACAAAGGGAACAGAGACAGGCAAGTAGGCAGGAATGAGTGAAACATCTGCTGGGCAATGGGGTGCCAGGTGTCTTCCAGTCTCTTCACCTGCTAACACCTTTTGCATCACACCAAAGAAGGAGAGAGGCTGAGAGAGAAATCATGGGACACCCTAAGCTAGTGAGCAAGAATGAGGGAGTGAGGGAGGTTTGAAGGAAAGTGAAGTAGGCTACAAACCTGGATTCCTTCATCTCCAACAGGAAAGTCCAGAAGCCTTTACACCCATCCCCCCACATTATTGCAGCCACATGTTTGCTCCTCTGGCATATGGCTCCCACATACCTCAAGAGCCACGTGGCCCCCTAATGTCTTTCTGTGTTCATGTGGCTTCTGGCTTCTCGACATTTGTGCATGATGCCCATCCCAGGCTCTCTGGCCTCCAAAAAAAGTGGATCAAAGTAATGGAGATGGGGCCTTGCATCTTCTCTTACATCAGCACTCTGTCTGCTGGATCTTCCCCTCCTGGCCTCCATCCTTTCCTCCATTTCCTGGTATGGGAGCAGGAATTTCCCTCTCCAGTGCCGGGAAGTGGGGGGAGCGTATCTGGAAGGGAAAAAAAATCAAATGTCATGGACACAGTGGAGGGGAGCTGGAGCCCATTCTGTCTCAAACCCCCAAACCCAACATCAACTCTCACCAGCCCCAACGTGATGTTCACATCTTATGCCTTGGTCTAGTTAGCTGTGGACCTCTGGGCATCCACCTCAGGCCAGATCACTCAAAGGCCCAGATCATAACAAAAAATGACACCGGGGCACTTCCCCATGAACAGGAACGTGCATTTCCCCTGGGACAAACAGCAGCGGCCCAAGGTGTGTGGCACATTACCCTGGGTGCATGGCACGTTATGCCAGGTGGGGTAGGGGAGGCTGGGGGCAGCAACTGTGCTGTCCCCAGCAGCCTTACCTAGGGTTCTGGGGGCTTCCAGGAGCTGCAGCCGTGGGAATCCTGCAGCAGGGAGCCTGGCTGGCAGCCAGAATGCATGCTGCTGCCATGTGCACTGTCCCACTTTCTTTAGGCATGGCGTTTTTTTGACTGCAAGATCTCCCTGGGGTCAAAAAACCCTTCAGCACTGCAAGATAGCAGTGTGGGGAATGCCTTCACGTGCAGTGTGTGGTGCCGCAGATGGGTCTGCAATTCCACATACCAGACATGTGCACTCGTCTGGATGCACTCAGGAAGCCTTCAGTCCATTACTGCCTGCTATAACCCATTACACTCTTCTTTCTTCCAGCCAGGAATAACATTCAGGAGTCCTGACACCCAGTTCTTTTCCTTTACATGATTTGTCTTTAATCTATTCCTAGAGCTGAGAATAGAATTTAGGAGCCATACCCTCCTGTCCCATTCACTTTCCTCTAGGACACACTGGATTGATGTTATGCTTTATGTAGTAGGGTTTGACTGGAGAATAGGAAACAAAACGCCTATATTTAAGAGGGGTGGGGGAGGCAGGGAAGTGATCCTGGCAACTACAGGTATTGTCTCAGTAGTATGTATTGACCTCAATAATATGCCATGGTTGAGAAAAGATTTTGAAGTAAAGAGTAACTAAACACCTGAAGGGGAGTGGAAAGTGGAATAAAAGGCAACATAGGTTTATTGAAGACAGATTATGCCAGATTAGCTTGATATGTTTCTTTGGTAATTTGTTCTTTGGACAAGGGAAATGTGATAAATAGTATCTAACTGGATATCAGTAAAGCCTTTGATGCAGTGCCATGTGAGAATGTGTAGGTAAACTAGAGAAAATAAGGATTACTACAGAACTGTAAATTACAAAAGGAGCTGGGAGATGGCAGAAAGTTGTGCTTAAAGAGGAACTATCTAACTAGAGAGAGGTTAGTAGAGGCGTTCCTCAAGGTCAGTTTTGGGAACAGTTGATATTATATAATAGTTTCTGTTAATGACCTTAGCACAAAAAGTATGCTTATGGAATTTGTGTATGGCGCAATTTGGGAGGGATTCCCTATGTGGAGGAGGATAAAAATATCACATAAGGTAACTAGCTGAGTTAGGGAACTGGCTTCATAGAAACAGGATGTGCAAGGCCATACACTTAGGAACCAATGACAAGAATTCCTGCTATAAAATGTAGGTTCAATGGTTGAAAACAATAGAAGAGGAGGAAGACCTTAGTGTATTAAGTTGATAACAGTATGGCTATGAGTCACCAGTGTGATTTCCCTCATGAAAAAGGGAAATGTGTCAAATGATGGTTTAGATAAGGTATTCCTATTAGAGATAAGAAAGTAGTAATACCATTGTACATGATAGTGGTGAGGCGTCATGTGGAATCCAGGACACAATGCTGATCACCCACATGCAAGAAAGATTAATTCAAACTGGTACAGGTACAGACAAGAACTGCTGGGGTGATCAAAAAAATGAAGAGACCATCTTTTGAGAGGTAACTGAAAGATCTTGGCATGTTTAACTGAGCAAAATGGAGCCCAAGAAGGGACATGACTGTTGTCATTAAAAACATCATCCAATTAAGCATCCCTGCAAGAGAAGGACTGTACTTAAGTGCCAGGGGTTTGGAACAGGCTCCCCCAAGAACTGGTACCGTCACCCACTCTGGTGATCTTCATGAGATGTCTTGATGCCCACGTTGCTAGGGTTGTCTGATCCCAGCGGTCTTTCCTGCCCAAGTGCAGGGGAGCTGGATCTGATTATTTGTAAAGTCCCTTCCAGCCCCTAACAACTATGAAACTAAGAAGCTACTGGACAATGCTGGCACATTACCAGAGGAGTATAAATGGACCATGAATTAATTGAGGCTAGAAATGCTGATCATGGGAGCAGCAAAGTTTAGGAACAGCCTTCCAGTAGCTGGAGCAAGAGACCTAACCAGTTTCAAGATGGAAACACGTCCAGTTATTAAAAGGATTATTTGACACTGTACCTGTGATACCAGAGGACTGACTTCATGACACAGCAATACCCATTTCTGTGTTCTTATAAATTATAGTTATACTTTGTGTAGCTCCTGTCAGAGATTTTAAGGCCAGAAAGGGCCATTATTATAATCTGGTCTGGTATGTTCCTTAAAGGGGCCATAGAAAATCCACAGGAATTTCTGCACCAAGCCTGTGACTTCTGCTGGAATGGGTGTATATCTTTTAGAAAGGGTGGCTGTCTCAATTCCAAGACTCTATGTGGTCAGGAATCCATCCTGTCCCTGGGCAGATTGTACCAGTTGTTTATTACCTTCATTGCGAAAATTGTGCACATTCTTTGTAGCTTGTTTTTGTCTAGCTTCAACTTCCACTCATTGGATTTTGTTGCATTTTGTCAGCTTAAGTAAAGAACCCTTTACTATCTGACATTTTCTCCCCATATTGATGCTTACAGATTGTGATCACATCACCTCTTCACCTTTAGCAGATAAGCTAAGTAGAATAGAGCTTCTTAAGCCTCTCACGGAAAGGCAGATTTTCCAGACCTCAGAGCCTTCTCAGTACACTCATGAGAATGATTCCCTAGATTCATTGTTCTCGCAGTCGTGATTAGCTGCTTACCAAGTGTCACTCATTTTGCAATACACTAGTTGAAACACTGTTCTTCAAGTATCTCAGTCTCATTTTGAGGGTGTAGCCTCCAGAAGGATCATAACAAGTGAAACGGTAGCCTTGAAGGTAGCTAAATGGGAGGGAAGTCCCAGGTAAAAGGGAGCAACATCCAAGCTAAAAATTTGCCCAAATCCAAAAATGTGTACGTGCTGCTGTGGTTGCTCATAGAGGGTGCAGTTTAGGTGTCTTGTGCCCCCATTCTCCTCTGTGGGCCAGCCTCTCTGACTTTATCACACCACATATGATGCACTATGATTGAGCTTCCATACAACATTGAGCTAGTTTTATGATCTGTTGCATACTGAGAGAGAGTCAAGCTGTGAAGGCATAGGCCAGAGAGAGAATGAGGACATGAGGTATCTGAATGTTAGCTGTCAGGAGACACAATGGTAACATTTTCAAATCCAAGTATGGGGCTTTGAGTGGGGGGTTTTTTAAACAAAAGTCAATATTTCCTAAGAACAGCCTCGTTTTTGTGAAACATTTTGTTTAGCTGAGAACCCAGTTTTCAATTAGCTGTACTTAGGAAGCCAATCTACTTTCAGCAGCAGCTTTGGGTTTTAGGAGTTTAAGGCCCCTTGACTTTTGGTGAAATATAAAGTGAGCAAGTCACTTTTGAAATGGAACTTAGGAGATTTTGAAAATGTTTACATTTCCTGCCAAAGGAGATGAACAAGGAAGTGACACAACATGCAGGCAATAAACATAATTTGAGCTAGTTAATGCAGGAAAAGATGTTGGGATGGAAATAAGATATTTTGAAAGGCTTCTATCTAAAGAAACTTCAGACTGTGCTGTTTAGAGACAAGAGGAATGGGAAGGGTTATCCTGGAGGTATGAAAAATCCTGATGAGGTTTGAGATGCAAAGTCAGGATGCAAAGGAGAACCATTTACATAATACAAGGACAAGGTGATAGCCACTGATAATGAAAGACAGCAGATTTAAAATTGACCAAAGGAAATGCTTTCTACATATTTAATACACTTGCGAAACTGCCCCAGGAGACCACAGAGTCCAGGGGCTAGCCAGGTTTCAAAAAGTATTGGACATCTATATGGAACATGAGGACATGCACATTATTACATCTGAAGGAATTATGAAAATGGAAAGGAAAACAGAAGAGCACTCACAAAAGCTTGAATAGGATACAAACACTCATCCTGTAGGGCACAACCCAGTAAGTAAGTGAAAGGCATTAGAAAGAAACTTTCTCTGTAAGGAGGCTATTCCATAACTCTTCACAAGAGTTCCTGGCCATTGCCAAAGACAGGGCACTGGGCTGGATGTACCACTGGGCTGAACTAGTCTGGCAGTCTCTGTGTTCCTTGTACACACAGCTGGCAGATAACTCAGTGTAACTCCCTTACCATGTAGTAACACCAACCCCATGCTCAGCTGGCAAGCTTGGCAAGGCTCTCCCTCATTCATCCTAATTCTCCTGCATTCATTCTCCTGCCAACCACACTTTTGACACCTCACTGCTAGTTCTGGATCCTGGGAGATATACAAGGAGAAAAAAGATTGGCTTGGGAGATCTGGGATGGACCAAAAGGTAAAGATAGGGAGACTCACCCTTTGGTTCCACAGGGCCAAAACCAAGGTGCAGGCCATAAGCAGGAGGAAGATGAAGAGAAGGAGTCCAAGAGTGACCTGTCTACCCAGGATGGGAGGCGGCCCAGAGACCTGGACATCTGTGAGGAGATGCAACAGTTAGAAAGGGGGAGTGGGACAAGGATGGGACTGTCCAGAGGTGGCTGACATGGGAAAGGAAACAGGACAGGTGGGGGAGAAGAGGCGGGGAGCAGAGGTGAGGGATTGGCACTAGATTAAAACATGATCAATGCAGGATGGTGTAGGATGGGCAAGGGGATGGGGGGAGGGGAGCCACAGGGAAGACAATACCTGTAATCTCCAGCCCATACTCCACTGCTCCCAGTCTTCCTTCTGGGCCATGGACACTGCACTCCCAGGTGCCTGTATCCTTCTGTGATACTCGGGGTAGTTCCAGGGTGGAGCCCAAGAGGAAGCTCTGAGTCCCCAGATCTCTGGAAGTAGCCTCAGCTGAGTTCCTGTTGCTGTAAGCAGAGTCTATGTGCCTCCACTGAAAGTGCTCGTGCCCTTGAGGATGGGTGAGGCTGCAGATGAGCATCAGATGGGAGCCCTCAGCCACTGGACCCTTGATGCTTGGGGTGACTTTGAAGAGGGAGAAAAGAATGTGATCAACAAAGACAGCAGGGCTTCTGCCAGCCTCACCCCTTCACCTCCTCCTTCCTTCCTTGCCAGCTTCCTTCTTTTTCTCTCTCAGACCTTCTCTTATTTCCTCCCTCTTTCCCCTCTCCTTTTCCTACTTTATCACCACAGGAAAACCTCCCTGTGACAAGGAATTCTGTACAGAGGAAAACTGCTTTCTAGACATATTGAGTAGCGACCCCGGGTTTCTTCCTATGGGAAGAATTGAAAGGCCTCAAGCAGCTCCAGTGTACCACAATGAATATGCAAGGAGATTTTTCTTCAGGTCAGCAAACATCCCTGGGTGGAGGTGCTCCTTCTTATTCTCTGGATCCTCCTACTCACCCATAATAATGGCCAAAGTCACCTCCTTAGTGATCGTTGTGCTGCGGATAGAGACATCACAACGATACTGTCCTGCATCACCAGGTCCCACCTCAGGGACATGGAGAGTGAAGTCTCCATTCCTGGAAGTACCCCAGTCTCCCAGATATCCTCCTGCGAGATTGCTCCAGCGGGCTTTCACTCCTTGGATGCCAGAGGCACTGGGATTGTGGTTCAGAGTGCAGGGTAGGTTTGCGGAAGAGCCTGCTGCTGCATAGACAACAGAAGAGGCTGGTCCAGAGAAACCTGAAAAGAACCAAGAATGTCCTACAGTATTAGGTGGTGCAGGTCACCTGAGATGCCACAGCAGAGGATGCTGCCACCTCCACAGACGGAAGAAGACAGACGAGCCAGGCCCAGGTAGTAGGGATGGAAGCAAAAAGAGATGAGGAGGCTACTCCAGATAAGGGGGAAGATGGAAAAAAAAGATATGGTGAAAGGCGAGCAACTTCAACAGAAGGACAGCCTAGCAACTGAGGCCAGGGGAGCTAGACAAGCAAGGTGGATGCTGGGCTTACCTAGAATTTGCAGGTTGTATGTGGCAGAAACATTTGTGCCATCTGAGTAGGCAAGGTTGCAGCGCCATGGCCCCATGTCACTCATAGTCGTCCTGAAGATAGACAGAGCCCCACTGAGGGAGAGAAATCTGCCAGAGATGAGGACAAGGCTGTCGTTGTGGAACCACTGAACTCCCACAGGTTTGCCTGGATGACTGGAGTTACAGTGTAGCCAGAAAGTCTCTGTTTCCACCACAAGGCCAGGGATATTGACAGTCACTAGGGAGGAGAAAGGGAAGAAAGAAAAATTAATGCCATAACTAAGTCCTGAAGCTATTCCCGTTCCGGGAGCTCTCCACCCCTCTCTGAGTATTAGCGGGCAAGATCATCTGCAAGAACCCAAGTTTCCTGTGTTTCTGTCTCAGAGGTCTCCGTGTGTGGAGGGCTCTGTGCATGAGAAAGTGATAGAGGAAGCCCCACAACCTCAAAAGGCTGCTTCTCATTTTCTGACTAGCAGCCATTCCAGCCCTGGGCACCCCACGCAGCTCTTTCTTTCAGACCTAACCCATGGACTTGGCTGCTCCCTGGGCCCCCCGTTGGGCTCCATCTTCTCCTACCTTTCACCACACCCAGCGCCACCTGGCAATGTAGGGTCGCTGTGCCGTATCTCACCAATGCCTCATACTGCCCTACATCATCCCTCTGCAGTGGCTCAATCCGAAGGGAGAAGTCCCCGTGGCGGAGGTCGGCATTCTGGACCATGGCTCGAGGCATCATGGATCGGGCCGTCTTTAGGACACCACTGTACTCCACCTCCAGCACCATGTGCGTCTCCTTGTGGGCTCTAGGTATGTGGGCCAGGGAAGTGAGTGAGTACTCGGAGTAAGGGTGAGGGAAGAGGTCAAGGGATAGGGGCAGGAACACAACAGAGCAGGGGGATGGGAATCAAGCAGTACATGTGAAAGAAGAAAGAATGGTGAAAAGGTGAAGAAGGGGAGCAGAGACTGAGCGAGCATGGGTCCAGAGAGGGCACAGGTCCCGCTGCCCACTGTTATTCTGCAATACCTTCCTCCATGCCGCTCCCAGCGGACTGCAGTCTTGTGATACAGCATCTTCCAGCTATTCTTCAGCTCTTGAGGACTGAGGTGACAGGGGAGCACAGCCAAGCCACCCTCTTCAGCCCATACCCTCTGCTCCCACCTCCACTCTTCTGCTGCTCTGGGGAACGCACTCTTGGCTGCTAGAAGACAGAGAAATGAGGAGAAAGGGGGGTTAGAAACAGAGTGATGAATTCTCTTCCTGAGGCAAGTGAGTCCTGCCCAGTGGTGTGGAGGAGCTGAAGGGAGGGACGGTTAGGGAGAAAATTTGAGACGCACTGGAAGATGAGGGAGGTAACAAGGGCTCAGATCTAATTTTATAGAATCCTGTGGACAAATTAATTCCTAAACACCCCTACTGCAACCCCTCTCCACCCTCAAACACCTTAGTCCACTTACCCTTGGTTACCAGCAGCGTAACGGCAAGAGACAGTGGGAGGAATACCAGTGTCATGGTGGCATCCAAGAGGCAAGAAGGACTGTGTCTTCACTCAGTTCAGTGCCAGAGCAGGTCCAAGGTTTCCAGAGATGAATGAAAACAAGCCACAGATAAACAAAAGAGTAGGGTTATGAACCAGGGCTGGGGTCAGTAGGGCTTTATTCCTCGTTGGCTTGTTCTCTCTCTCATTCCTGTTTGTCCTCTCTCTCTCTCTCTCTGATCAAAGCCTTTCCCCTTGTGCCCTTATATTGCAGATGGGCAGCTAATTTCCTCATAGCACTGAGAAGATGCGTCACAGCCAAAAACCTAGCTTCAGACTGAGGCACGTGAAGAAATAGATGCAGATAGAGCAAGAGAGAGAGAGAGAGGAGGCAGAAGTCAAAGTTCATGTTCTAAGCATCTTTTAGTGGAAACTCTTTGGGTCTTTGTTTTTTTTCTTCAATGTTTCGCTTCTATGTAGACAGTGGAAAATGTGTAGAAGACACTTCCCAGCAAGTGCCCTTCATGTTTTTCTTTCATCTTTTACCTTTTTTGGTTTGATCTTTCCGCCTCTCACTGTTTCTCTTAATTAATTGCTTTATTCTTTTCAAAGGGTCTTGTTCTTCTTTCCATTTATGTTCTTGTTCTTTTATGTTACAAATTTATGTTTTGCTTTGCTTTGTTTTGTTTTTTCCCCCTCCTCTTTCTCCAACTCATAGGCAACAATAAATAAATAGAGCTGCAGATGCCAGGTTGGAAAGTAAAATAATCCACAGGAACTGAGAGACGGTGACAGGAAATAAAATAATCCCGAACCAGGACAAATGCAACTAAAAGATCTGCATGCCTGGCACTCAGTAGAAGAGAGATGATCAGTGGGGGTGAAGGAGGAGGCTAGAGAGGAGCTCACTATAAAATACTGTCTACAGAAAAAAGTCACGGTGTTTTAGGGGCTGCATAGAAAGCCACTCTGTGGCTCACACTTTCCAGTGCCTACTGACTTAACTTAATCACTCATTACCCCTTCCCTGTGACTGCTGTCAAACTTCTGTACCTTTTCAGGCCGTGCACACACATATTCTCCACTGGTGAGGTGGGGCCTTTCCCAGAGGTGAGAGAGGGCAAAACAGCAGAGGGGCACAACTGCTCTGTTGAGAGCTTGCTCTTTTCCTCTCTCTACCTCAGCTGAGCAATAGAAAGGCAGGAAGAGAGATGCAAAGACAAAGAGAACGTGCAGGGAACTGTCTGGGCAGTTGCCCCTAACCACTTAGAGGAGTGCCATTGGAAGGGCCTTGGGCATTTGCCAGCACCTGGCTTTGCCTGATTTCTGCTTGTGGCACATGGCACTGGGCTCCATACACAGGCACATGCGGGAAATGGCCTGCGATCTATAGGAAGTCAGACAGCGTGATCTACTGGTCCCTTCTGGCATCAAATTCTGCGAAGCCCATGAAAGTGTGTGAGACAGTGAGGGAAGAGAACTTTTTACTGTTAAAAGTAGCAGGTGTTTTTCCTCTTGTTTAACAAAAACCATCTGTGGTGTCCACAGTCCAGGCAGAGGGTACAGATTTTCCTTTCCACTGAGTCAACAACAGGGGGATGTCATAAGCGTGTGGGTGAAGGTGAAAAAAAAAGGGAGGAGGTCTGCACCACAGCCAGGAGACACTTGAGAGTCACGCTTGGGCCCCATCTATCCTGTCCTTCTCCCTGGCCCCATTCCAGGGATACATTATGGATGCTGCTCTCCATCCACATCCGTTATCTTTTCTCACCTCTCCCCACCATCATGCTTCTCACTCTTGCCAAACTGACCAGGATGTTAGCTCCACACTTGAACTTTGGAAGTGTTATTTTCAAATGAAAAAACAAGGACAAGCTCAAGTCTTTCTACTACTCCTTGGGGAAATAACACCAGAGGCTCCAGTGGCTGGGGCCACTGCAAACAGTGACACGGCCACTGCCGCACAAGGGGATGTTTATGGTTGAGGGGTTATTTTTGCTGAGCAAGTGTGTTGTGAAATTAAGGTTCTGATGGCACTATTTTACTCAGCGTGAACCTCTATCTTTAGAAAAGATTCCTTTAGTGTTTTTCTGTAATGACCCATTTTAAATGCTGACTCCATTGAATGGCGTCTTCGTCATCTCCCAGCCTAAGACCCCACAGGCACAAACAATGACTGGCATAAAGTCATCACTGAGGTACGTCAGCAGGGCAGGTCAGGACTGGGAGGAGCTGAAAGTGAGGCATGTAGTATATTGGAAGAGCTGTGGGGAGCCAGGGGCAGGCTAAGATTAAAATAGTAGGGAGCTGCAAGGCAGAAGCCTAAATCATGAGAGAGTGACACATCTGTTTTGGGCACTAACTGCCCAGGTTTTAGACTTCTCCATAGCAGGACACTTTATTAACAACTTGAAGGCATTATCTTTTCTATCTATTGGCATATTTATAATACAACATATAACCAATTTGTGTTCTCACCATGACATGCCACTACCATGACCAAGTTTGGACTTCTGCAAAAATTATGTAGCAGAGTCTGGCAGTTTCAGCACCCTGGGCCGCATTGGTACCCAGACTGGAAATGGTAGTGGCTACCATTCTTCACTCCCTCAAAAACTGATGCCTGAGATTAGTGTCTCTATAGTCCATCCCTACTTAATTCCATCTTAGCTGTGGCCCTTTAAAAAGCCAGGGAAATGGGATTTAAGACCCTTTATGTTATATACAAACTAGAATGCAAATGTTATCTCATACTATAAAGGGGCACTGTAATTTTAGCAGAATCTGCAGCAAGTAAAATTACGAGGGAAATAATTACAAGTTTTATGCACAGTAGACATTCTGAAATGCAGGCAGTGAAATTTGATTGAAAATTAATTGCATTAAATCAGCCTGTTTTATTTTAGTAAAGCAAAGAGGAAAAATAAGATATTA